CTTGACCTCTTGACCTCTTGACCTTTAAACTTAGATTAATATAATAGTAAGAAAGTTTTAACACAAAACGGTTTCACCAGCTTGAAAAGTCCAAACGTGCTGCAGACCAGCAGAACCCGGCCGGTACCACTGCTGGCCGGCAGCATGAAGGCTGTGGGTTTGAATCCCGGTCTGCCTCAGTCCAGAACCAGAACCAGAACCGATGGCCTGCTGGACTCTAGACTTTACTAAGCTGCAAATACAAAACAACATTTCCTGACTTTCTAAATATTTTTTCATTGTTTTATTGTTTTTTGCATCGTTTCCTTTTCTGTCTAAAAGTCATTCATTCAAAGCTGCATCTGATTTACTGCAGACAGAAACTAAAACCGATCAATAAAAACACATATTGATCATTCCAACCAGTAAACAAACCAGCCAATCAGAGCAGCAGCAGATAAACACTAAACCAGGGGTGTCAAACTCAGTTTGACCGAGGGCCACTTCTGCATATTGGCCCCCCTCAACGGGCCACACTGACGGAACCAATCAGGAGGGCCCAGCTGCAGCCCTCCAGACTGCAACTTTTAGATGCATCCCTGCTAAATAAACCACTGTTTAGTTAATAAACAGCGACTAAATATCCGATGTTAATATGATTGTAATTTAACGGATAAAAATAGTACATGACAGATTTTTTTTTTTTATGTTGTCGGTCAAGATGAGGGATAACAAAAAAAGTCTAGCGCCACCTGCAGCCCTGACACCGACTCACACATCTTCATTCAGTCTTACTTGTAAATTGATTTTTCTTTTCTTGGCCGTTTTGATGTTAGCTTGTCGATGTCTCAGTTTTATTCTTTATTCTTTATTTTAAGTCAATCATGGACCTATAAAACAGTAGGGGGGCCACATAAAATGACATGGTGGGCCACATGTGGCCCGCAGGCCTTGAGTTTGACACATGTGGTCTAAACGATCAGCCTGATAAACTGATCAATATTGGAACTTTCCTACAGAAACGTCCTCAGTCATTTTTTTTTACCAAAAGTGATTTTTGCTAAGAAAAGTTTTTCCTTCCAGAAGATGATTTAGGCAGAAAAAATATTATTTTAGGGAAATAAAGAAGAGGTTTAGTCTGAAGGAAGCAAACAGCTGGTGGTGTGAGCTGAGGGTCAACCAGAACCAGAACCAGGACGGTTCTCTCTCTGTGGCAGCCATGCTGTTGTCAGCTGAGCTGCAGGCAGGGTAGTAAATATCTCCAGCAGGGACTGAGAGTGTGTGTGTGTGTGTGTGTGTGTGTGTGTGTGTGTGGGTGTGTGTGTGTGTGTGCGTGCAGCCGGAGCTGTCGCTCTCCCTTCCTGCAGGCAGTTTGGCCTCTGCAGCTGATCGTAGTTTGGCAGACGCTCAGAAACTCCGACAGCCAGGAAGTGTGTGTGAGTGTGTGTCCTTGTGAAGGTAGCGCAGGCAGCAGCTCGACATGAATCGCCTTCTGGTGAGCCTGGCTCTTCTTCTCCTGTTTTTCTGTCTAGTGATCCGTTTGAGGTGAACTTTGACTCGGTTAGAGGCAGAGCGGCTCTGACCCCGGGGGGTCGCCGTGTCGGGGGGGCAGAGATATGATCCGGGCGGAGCGCCGGCTGCAGGTTCAACGGTTCTGCCTCAGACTCACACCTGCTGCTCACCTGCTGGGCCGAGTGCAGCGCCGCACGTCCGCCATGACGGCAGCCTGCGGTGCTGCAGCCACAGGGAAACATCCCTGTTGCCTTTTTCTGGATTCATGTGTCTTTTATTTTCTGCATGATGATGAAATATTTCATGTTTTTCTCCATATTTGTTAAAATTCTGGCCATTTTTTCATAAACATTTAAACGGCAGCAGGACAGCTCCGGGAATTAGCCTGTCCCATTCCTCGGGGTCTTCCTCCTCCTCTCCCTCCATCTGTGTCACGGTGTGAACAGAACCAGAACCGGTCCAGACTCCAGGGACCCATCAGTCAGCAGAGAGGGTCATGACCCTCCATCCAGGACTGCTACAGGTCAAAGGTCATGAAAAAGCTAGCTAGCAGCTCTGCAGACCCCACACATGCTGGACATGAACCGCTTATAGCTCCACCTCCAGGGCGGCGCCACCGAGCCGGTCCCGGCCCGCAGCATGATGCTGCAGCCTTACTTCGCTCCCACGACGTTTTCTTCTTCACGTCTGAATTTTTGTTCCGATTTTTCATGAAAACTTTAATGTCACAAAAAAGCAGAAACTTCTCAGCAACTTCAGGGGAAATTATTTTCTGCTCCACAGGAACCGGATCGTCTTTCTGCCCCAGTTCAGATTCTGGTTCTGGTTCTGTAGCTCTGACCCGGTCCAGAACCTTCGGGGTTAACGCTGTTAATCTGTGTTTTCAGATCAAAGTTTGTCATAAATCCTTTATGAGTAAGTAAAAAGTTTTCATCTGAAATCTCTGATTCAAATTTCATGGAAAAAAAGTTAATTTATTTCTAAAGATCTTTTTCTGAATTTCTCCACCTTAATGACCTTTAACCCCGTGAGACCCAGTTCTGGTTCTGGTCAGCTGATGACCTCCAGCTGAACTTTGTGCTGTTTTGTTTGTTTTGTCCTTTGGGATGAGTTCTGCTCTCTGATTGGTTCTGGTGTCGTGTTACTGCGACAGGGTTGGCTCTGGTGCAGGAAGTCCCGCCCCCAGCTGTCCAGTCTGACCTTCCTGTGAACAGAGAGACATGCAGGTTCTTAAAGAGACAGTGTAGGTTTTGCTCCAGCTTGACCTAGTCAAAGCCCAGCTCTCTTCAGGAGTGCACTTTGACTAGGCCACTGCAGCACCATTTGTTTATTTATCAATTCAGTTCAGTTCTAGAAAAGTTCATCCAGATTAGATCTGATCTGGAAATAATATTTAAACAGGACAAGAAGAAATGATCCGATAGAACCAGAACCAGAACAGAACCAGAACAGAACCAGAATGGATTAGAATCTGTCCGTCTGGCTCGGATGAATCCAGAAGCGGAGCTCAGATTACTCCAGAATAAATAATCTGGATTATTATTTATTGTCCTGAAGGGAAAACAAACAATTCAAAGGAGGAAAAATGAACAAATTACAAAAAACACAAAATCCTGAAATAATTTTTTTTTTCATTTTCTCGAAACTTCAGACAGAAACAGGAAGACGTGGCGGATCCGCCTCTGTTGATCAGCTCTGATTGGTCCCTGGATTTCACAGATCATAGTTATTGATCAGCTATTAGAGAACCTGCAGAACATTTAGCATGTTTAGGAAAAGCTGATTAGTGCGGCTGAACCTGGAGTCTCTGCAGCTGATTCTGTTTCCTTCTAGAGTTTTTTCTTGGTTAAATGTTTTCCTTGGTCTCTTCAGAAGCTCCGCGTTTTAACCGCGTTTCCGTTTGTTTCCAGAACGTTCCCCTGGCGGCCGTCCGGGCCTTCAGCAGCTCCAGCAGAAACCTGAAGAACAAAGTTCCTGAGGCGCAGAAATTCTTCCAGGTGAGACTCCACCGCCTGCTCAGCGGCCGACCGGACCGGAAGACCCGGCAACAGAACCATCAGAACAGTAACTGATCAGTTTAACCAGACCGGGTCGAGAGAAACCAGTAAATATTCACTTTTCCACCTGGAGTTCAGTAAAATCCACATTTTTACCTCCGGTTGGACAGATAAGGCTCCCAAGGTACCAGTTACCATGGTGACCAGGCCTACTGGTTGCCATAGAGACGGCGCGGTCCAAAGATGCTGCTTTTCCAGCCCTGCTCACGTGGCAAAATGAAGAGTTACACTGAATCTCATTACTGGATCTGGTAAAATTTAGTTTGAGATTTTGCTGTTGCAGTAATAATAGTTCTGTCAATCGATTTCTAAACGTGATTAATCGGATTAATCATAATGATTAACTTTATAAAGTTCAAATGTAAATATGAACATTTTCAAAAGATGTTTTATTGTCTCAGATCAAATGGTCAAAGTGAGTTTTTCAGGTTTCCATTTTCAGGAAGGTTTGAAAGAGTCACTTTGTTTTAAACGTCGAGTTGGAAATATGAACTGTTGTGTTTCAGTGGAAGGATAACCTGAAGTTACCTTAGTTTCATCTAGGCTTAGTTTAAAGCTACGTTTCCTGCGGACTCCTCCTTCCTGTCGCTGTGACCTCAGTGGCCTGCAGGAGGCGCTGTCGGGTCGACATGCAGGTCGATTCTTCTGTTTTATTTAACATTAACACCTTGATAGACTAAATGAAATCTAAACTCTGAACGTGAGTCTTTAGCAGGAAGTTGACCAATCGTGTCGCAGTCTGTCGTCCGCTATGATTGGCTGAAGCTCGTCTCAGACAGGAAGTCTGCTCTGCTTCTGTTCTTTAGCAAACTGAGGTGTAGGTTTGAATCCTGCAGCTTTCTGGCTGCTTGTACTAAAATCATGTCAGAAATAAAGAAATATCCTCTAATCGCCACCTGATGTCCCCTGTGGTTTCCATGGTTACAGGAAGACAACGGGCTGCCGGTCCATATCAAGGGAGGAACCAGCGATGTTCTGCTGTACCGGGCCACCATGTTGCTGACTGTCGCAGGTAAGAGCCAATCACAGACTAGATTAATAAAATACAATGATATTAAACAAAAGTTAAAATGGTTAAAAAAGGTTAAAAACTGTTATTTATTTGAAAATGATAAAACTTAAATATGGAGCTGGACCAGGAAGTGGTGATGGTTTAGTTTTCTGATCAATCGATTACTAAACTAATCATTAGCAGCAGAAGATGTAATGTGCTTATGAACATGAGCTGCATCTGGACCTTATCGGGTTGGACCAGAACCAGACTGAAGGTCACAGGGCCGGAGCGGCTCAGAAAGCTGCAGCACTGAGGCCTCCTGGCCAGCAGGGGTCACTGTCTGACAGCAGCGCTGAACGAGACAGGGGCGCCATGTTCTGCTTCCATCCAGATGGAGGTTGCTATGACAACCACCTTTCTGAGTACTGCTGCAGATCCCCAATAATTTTGGTTATTTAAAGAGAAAGAAACAGAGAGACTCATATTTAAAGTCATATTTTCACCATGTTACTTGTTTTATTAATGTCGGTTTTAAACTCGCTGAGGATCAGGAAGGAGCCAGATTCTTCTTCTACTCATGTCTGTTCTCTGCAGGAACCTGCTACTCCATCTACTGGCTGCTTGTTGCCTCCATGCCTAAGAAGAAGGAATGAGATGATGTGCAACATGCAGCGCAGCAACGCTAAGCTGAGGCTCGTCTGAAAGCAGAAATAAAATGACTCAGTTTCTCTGTGTGTGTTTGGCTTCTGTTCAGTCAGCAGCAAAACCTTTAATCAACCTTGATAAACAAATTTATCAAGGTTCTTTGCTCTACAAGCCACAAAAACCCTTAACATGACCGACTAAAGTTAAAAGATATGAATCAGTAGTTCTGCTAAACAATGAAATTGAATAAAAGTGAGACATTGTAAAAGTTGTTTCTTTACATATTTTGTAGCATTAGCCCAGAAGCTAAGCCTGGAAAAGTTTGGAAACCTTTAAACAATCAGAAATAGACTTTGTTCCAACAGGATCATGTGACAGGAAGTTAGGATTATAAACTTCCTATAGAAGAGCTGCTGGACGATTCTTCCTGTTAGCGGCGAGTTTTTCCTCTCCACTGTGGCTGCATGCATGCTGGGTATGAGGGATTGCTATAAAGTCAAAGGCATAATGCAAGTGACTTTCTGCTGTTGCCCCCTGCTGGTCAGGAGGAGTGAATGCTGAAAGTCAAAGACTGCAACCCTTAGAAACTTTAACATGCATAATTATTTGATCTAAGTGCACAATTCATTAACTAGCATCAGATGGAATCTGGTTATGATGAACTGAAATGATTTTTTTGTGAAGTTCCTGGAGGTGAAAGTTTTAATGAACTGATGTGGAGAATCAGAACTAGATGGAGCTCAATGAGTGTAAACACAACCTGCTGAATCTACATGTTGTAGATCTTTGTGACAGATTTCAGTGATTCTCACCCTCAATGAGTAGAAACGTACCAACTGTGGCGCCCCCTAGTTGCTCTCAGCAGCATTGCAGGGATCTACACAAAGAGCTTTCCATGACAAAATATAAAAGCTGCATTCATGCCGTTCCCTGATTTGGAGACAAATTCAGCTTTCTGAGACTTTGGGGACAAATTTTCTCGGAAACGGTCGACTTCATCAGTCTGAGGGTTGGAGACCCACGTTTGGCTCCTGCAGCCTAACAAACGCTGCGGCGTTCAGATCGGCCCGTTCTCCTTAAACAGCGCTAACGTCACAGGCAGCTGCGTTTGTCTTTTATTACATTTCTGCCATCAACACGTTTGGTTCTTTGTGGGGACTTTCCATCGACTTCTATTCATCTTTTATTCATTTCTACATCCTGACCATAAACCATCTTTCTCCCTAAATATTCATTTTCTTTTCCCATTACATTTTAAATCAACCCAAAGCAAAGTTTAAAATAAATATTGAAGTACATCATCATTGTTACAGTGAATCTGTTTGGCTTCATGTCAGACATCAGTTCTTCACTCTGCAGGAGAAAACCAGTGAAAATAGTTTTAAGTTGTTTGATTATTTCACAGCATTAAGATGTTAAAATAAATAAATTTAACTGTGATTATATTTACTAGGAGATTTTCTGGCTGCAGGTTTGTCTTTAAAGTGTTAAAATGTTATGAAACATAAAAGATTGTTCTCTCAGCCGCTT